AGTTTCTATTTCTTGGTAATTTGGTTTGTGAAATGGTAAACAAATTATTGAAATTTATTTATTTGATGTGTTTAACATTTGATTAATGCAATTTTCTGTCTTTTCAGACTATTAGTTACAAGCACAGCATCATCAACGGTGATTGCAAGAACTACTGCAATCCCTGCGGTTTTCCTCTTTGTAAATGCGTTCTGGTCGTGACCAAGGGTGGTCTTCCAAATCAGCCGGGAATAAGGTTAGTCATTTTCAATTTTATATCTTAGTTCGTCGACGTTATAGGACATGTCATCATTGCAGGCTATTGTTGCAGAACAAAATGCCCCAACCACTGCTGTGGTAAATATGTACCAGCAGTACTGCCCACCGCCGTCGGTGCAATGATTTCGATAGCTGAACAAACGCCATCTCCTGGGCATTCCCACAGCTTGCCGACACCAGCTATTATATCACGTGTGAATGCAACTGCGGCTAAATTTGGTTATTAACAGTGCAATAGTGCCATGTCATTGGCAAAAACACAAAGGGTTGCTGGCATATAGAGGTTGTAAAGTTTTGGGAAACGAAGAACCTACTCGAAGAAGACGATGGCCGCAAACCTATGATGAAACATCTTCTGGCATGCCTTTGACAATCGTTAAATATATATATACACAATATTTATCCTTCTGCAGAACGTGCATGCATATTCATTTCCGATTTTATGGGTCGATTACGGAGGACAACCGACTTTCAGTTGGTTGGCCAGTGGCTGAAATGGTATTACAGATGGCAACTAGCAACTGAAAGCTGGCAACTGAGTTGCGCTATATTGGCAACTGCATTTTTGTAGCTCCCGGGAAATTTTGATTGAGATACTTTATTTATTTTTTCAACTTTTTTTAATTTGTATCACCTTGAACTTTATGAAACTTAGTTATTGCTATTCATAATAAAATACATTTTCGTTTCAGTGGCGCTGTCTAGCGGCAACCCAACTGAGATTCCGTTGCCATCCATAATCGATCCATAAGTCATAATCGCACGAGCTAATCAAGGCTATCACAGAATCCATCGTAGTCCGATTTTTCGTGAAATCTACGAAAATGCTATTGAATTCGAGTAGCTACGAACGCAGCGTATGCTTTGAATACACACATTTATAACAGCTCCTATTCAGTGATAGCCTTTTCGTAGATTTTATGAAAAATCGGACTTCGATGGATTCCGTGATTACCACCAATATGTATTCTTCTTTGACAAGATGTAGAGGCAACACAGCCGTATACCTACTCTATACTTTTTCGCGCATATGCTAAATTTTTCGAACCTAGCTAAAGTGCTTGACAAAGGCAGAAGGCATATCTTCAACATTATAACTTAAAGTAAAAAAGTTTAATGCATGCAATAAAAGAACACAACAGAACCAAAAAATGTTCTCAAAACTATTAAACATAAAAAATTGCACGAATAAAATTCATTATGTAAAATAAAATAAAATATCGCAATTGTTTTTACTATGTACATACATATTTACAAAATGAATCTTAAAGCACCCACAGTAAGTCCTAAACATATAATTGACTAAGAGGAAATATAATAAATAACAGAAATGTGAACAAGTATGTCGAGAAATCTGTAAATAGTAGCGAAACTGTATCTCAATAATAACAAGTAATTTTAAGCAAAAAATACAACCGACTTCAATGCGCATTCACGTCGTTCTGGTTACGTAGACCCGACTGTCCTCCCTTTTTTTAAAATCGTCAAAAAAATGAATACGTATTCTACAGAAAAAAGATCAAGATACATATTTAAGGATTTTAAGTAAAAATAAATAAAGGAAAACTGGTTCGTGATATCTCGACCAAGGTGTATTCATGATACAAAAATTTTAAGGTAAAACCGCTGAGAGGCAGCCTGAACATTTTTGAAGTTTGCTAACATAACAAAAATGTTTTCAAATTTCCAATCTCACAAATACATTCTCAGTTTCAGTCTCAAATAAAAGAAAAATCCAATATTTTCATATATTTTTTTTGTTTGTTTAACTTTTATTTGGTATTTGCGTTGCTCTCAAAATTTCAACATGTGAAGACCCCAAGTCCATCACTAAGGGCCTCCACAATTTGAATTTCATTTTTATACATATATTTATACTTATTGTTGAATTTTGATAATTATTATAAGTCAATGAATTGTTAATTATATACATACGTGAGATTGAAATACATATGTACATATTTATATTGAAATTCGAAGTACATACATACGTACTTAGATAAAAGGAAGTAAAGAAAATATTAGCAACAATGTTGTTAGGATAACTGTCTGCCTGCGTGCAGGACAGTATAAATAGAGCAGCAAATGTAATTTGAAATCACTTCTGGTAGAGTAGTCGTATACTCCAGTCGATCGTGCAAACGCAGATTGGAATGGCTAAGCAACGATTGTGAAGACTAAGTTGCTTAGTAGGTAGTTAAGGTATATGGTGTGACGTGAAAACGCTGCCAAGTAGTACTTATATGGTGTGACGTGGAAACGCCGCCAAGGAAATACGTTATATTGGTGTGACGTGCAAACGCTGCCAACTAAATAGCGAAATAAAGAAGCGTCACTATAAGAATCATTGGCGTATTTATTTTAACGTTTGGATAAGGGAACCCAACATCCGACTGAGCCACAGCCCAGCTATAGACCGGATAAACCGGGGTCGTTACAAACATTATATAATAGACAAACTTCAAAAAAATAAATGATGGCCGACGAATTGAGCAAGCAGTTTTACCTTTAAATATTTGTATCATGGGTGTATTAAACAAGGTGTTATTGACAACTCAGTGCGGCTCTCTTAAGATACTTTTATATCATAAAATATAAACAAACGATTCAAAATTCATAAAAATTTTCTTCAATTTGACTTTATAGGATGGTTCTTCTGAGAGCAATGTCAAATTCAATCACACTTTGTTAAATACATTTTGATTTTTACCAAATAATATACTTCCTCTGTAAATATTTTATGAAGTGTTCCAAAATGCGCTCCGAGCGCGTTCACTGTTGATCATTTGATTTAAATAGTTTGTTAAACAATTAAAACTATAGTTTGATCGAAGTTAATATATTCTTCAGCAATTAATTTTATTATATTAAAACATAAGCTTATGAGAAATTATTTAGTCTTAACATGCATATTTTATATCGTGTTCCAAAATTCGCTCCGAGCGCGTTCTCTATTAATCTTTTGATTCAAATATTGTTTGTCAAGCATTCAGTAGTGAAGTTTGATGGGAGTTTATATATTCTTCAGTAGTTTAATCATATTACATTGAAATATAAACGTTTAATATGGTAGAAAGTTAGAAATTATTAAGTCTTAATATGCATAATTCGCTCCGTGTTCCAAAATTCGCTCCGAGTGCGTTCACTTATGATCATTTGATTTAAATAATTGTTTCACAAGCATTCAGTACTATAGTGTGATCGGAATTTATATATTCTTAAGTAATTGATCACATTTTATTAAAATATAAACCTTTCATAGGGTAGAAATTGTGAAATTATTTAGCTTTAACATGTACAGTCAGCCAGAGACAATTGCAGAAAACTGCAACTACTCGTGAAACCTAACAATAAAA